GCTGCAGCAGGAGGGTTGGACTAGATGACCCACAAAGGTCCCTTCCAACCCCTACTATTCTGTGATTCTGTGATTCTGTGACAGTGCTCACCTGCTCGTGGTACTCGATCCCCATGCTGAGCGTGTTGATGAGAATGGCCACCATGATCCCACGGCCAAAATATTTGCTGTCCACGATCTTCCGGAAGGTCTCGCACACCACGTGCCAGAAGGCCAGCACCCGGCTCGCTCTCCTGGCCCGGGCTCTGCCCCGCTGCGGGTCCCGCTGATCGCTGTAGTGGGCATCCTGCGTGAATTCGTAGACCCCCTCGCTGTCCGAGTCGGCCGTCTCGTTGTCCGTCAGCTCGGCCTCGCTTGCCAGCGCCTTGAGGCAGTAAGGGCAGCTCTCAGGGTTGCAGGAGCCGCCATCCAGCTTGGTGCAGGGGCTGGAGGTCCTGCAGGAGCTTTGGCAGGGACCTGAAATGCCAGCGAGGCAGGGGCAGGCAGCCCGTCAGCCAGGACGGGGGGCTGTGGGCAGCCACGGGAGCAACCCCCACCCCTGTTAGCACCAAACCATTGCCCTCAACATGATGGGCATTTTCCTAAGGGGCTCCTGCTGGGTTAAAGAGCCTTAGGCAAACCCCAAGTGCCTTCTCCCCCATTACAAAGCCCTCTGTGCTGTCCCCGGGCAGACAGTGCCACCAGCCCAGGACCCCTAGCCCACCTTGTTACACCTCTGGCCACCATGGCTGGGAGAAAGCAATCAGCTCCCCTGGTCCTGGCAGGCTCCGGGCTGCAGCCAGCAGGAGCGCTGCCGCCAGCAGCCTCCTTTCCTGCTCCCGCTGTTTGCTGCTGCTCCGAAATCCCAGCTTCCCCCTCCACGCTCTGCCTCCCAGGGCAGCTCCCAGCTGCCAGGTGGCTCCAGGGTGACAAAACCAGCAGGATATTCCCCAAAAATCCCACCAGCTGGCTGCCAGGGGAGAGCCTATCTGCAAAGCACGCTCCCGACTCACGCCCAGCAGCAAGCAGCAGTGCGAATAACAACCCAGCACTAAACCATCTCAGAGCCCAGCTCTGTGTATTTAGACTCTGGGCAGCTCTGGGCTGGGGGCAGGACTCGGTCTCTTCCCTGCACAGCTCCTGGCTGGAAAGGTCAATGCTGCTGGGGTGGGGTGGACACGGCATCAACTGCCTGGGAAAGCTTGGCCAGAAATGTTTCTTGGAGGCTGAGAGGGTTTGGACTAGATTGGCCCAAGCTCCCAAACCCCCACGTGTGGAGGGGAAAAGAGCATCTTGCAGTGAAGGTACAAAACCCCCAACCCAGGAAAGCTGCATTCGGTGTCCAGCTCTGGTACGGGCTTCCTGAGCAAAGCGCTCCGGGCAGATTTTTAACACTCGGCATCTGAAATTGCCATTGAGCACTTGTGCAAAGCAGACGCCTGATCTCCCCACGCCTCCGGTCCCTCGGGGAGCAGAGCTACAGGCAGGGTGTGCTGGGGCTTGGGTCATTCAGACCTGGAAGGCATCGACCCCCGAGCTCGGCGGTGGGCAATGCAGTCACCTCCAACCCCCTTGTCTTAACAAGGAAGGAACTGGGCCATTTCAAAGCAGCCAGGCTGGGCTCCAGCCATGCTTGGTGTCACTGAGCCCAGTTCTAGCTGATTTGGGGACTTCAAGGATTTGGGGAGTGTTCCCTGTAATTGAGAATAAATTGGTTTGACTGGGGGGAGATGGGGATGGGAAAGAAGATGGGTTCTTGAAAACATTCATTTCCCTTTTTGCAAGTTTGAAGCCTGGGAGGTCGACACCTCACTCCTGGTATTGGCTGTAAGCTCCATTATGTAGGTCAGAAGATTTGTGTTGGCCTCACCTGGAAAGCCATCGCCTTTCTCTGTAACGTGGACTGAAAAGAACCCTGCAAAGATTCAGAAAGAGAAAGAAACTAGGTCGTAGCTTGTATTTCTGGAAGGCAACCCCAGACCGACGTCCTGCCCCGGACTCACCCGTGCTCTGTGTCTCCAGCAGCTTGTGCATGGTGCTGTACGGCCCAGGTGGGATGTTGAGGCTTGTCAAGGTGCTGCTCCCAGCACCAACCGCTGCCTCCCCCAGGTTCTTCTCTTTCAGCATCTCATGGGAGGTGCTGGGGTGC